ATTTTTTTCAAAAATATCAAATATTAATTAGTTATGACAGAATCTCTAAAAAAAATTTTGGTGTACCTATTATTTTCATCATGAGTGTACATATGTACCTATGTATGTAGTTACCGTTCGCATTTGTCTGTTCCGTCTCTATATTTCGCATACCCATGCCAGAATGAATGTTAATTTCTGCCTGGCATTCTACAGGTATATAAATACATACATATATGTGTACATATTTTTTCTCGCTTTGCCGGCTGTTGCGCAATACATAAATACAAGTGGTAAAAAAAAAGCGCGCTCATTCATGGAACATTTACATACATACGAACATACATGCGCTGCTTATAAGAGATATGATGGGAAATTGCATTTGATTGACAGATTTACGTACGCTTAACGGCAACGATTACTGTTAACATTACTGGGCAACAGCTGTTGCTTGGCCTATTTGAATGCTATCGAGCACTTTGTTTTTGTTGCTTGGAAAATTAGCATAATTCAAAGTGCTTGACACATGCACCTGTTGGCGCACTTCATTTCGCTTTTAAATTGTGCCAAGCGTTAAATATAACTAATTAGAATGTACTGAACGGTGTGTAAGAGTAAGAGTAAGCAAGTGTATAGCAAAATTGATCAAATGTATATGCATACCATACGAATGTATGTATATAAACATGTATGTATATACATATATTATTAGTTATTTATGCCCTTATATGTATATTCATATATGCATATAGATGAGACATGATTTTTGAACTTTGTACTCAGAGAAAAAGTTGCCGTTACCAATCTATCCATATTTCACACAAATACACATACACACACTTAGTATACATATTTCTTGATATATATGTATGTATGTGTATGTGTGTTAGTGTTAAGCTGCCTGCCTTGTTGTTGGTCAAACAAAGCGGCGACGGCTATAAAATACCGGCAGCAAAACCCACAGTCATGTGCGTGTGTGTGTGTGTGTGTGTGTGTGTTTCTTTCTCTGACGTTTCTTTTGCTTTGTAGTCTTCTTTGTTGTTGGGTTAATCAACAAATCTGCTTGGCCAAACTTCAAGAGGCAAGAAATCAGACGAAAAGCCAATCGTATAAAATGAACATGCACAAATACCACACAAACACACACACACACACACACACACATGCACAAGTGCATATGTGTTTGTTTTTATGTTTTTACCCTATAGATTCAACAGTGTTTGAATTTTTTATTGAGCAAATTACAAAGCTTTTAACTGGGGCGTCTCGCTTTGTTGCTGCATTATTGCCTTACCCTTTGCACTATGTTTTTTTGGGTCTGATGTTGACGAGCGTCTGGTTAAGCAGATTAATCACAATAATTAGCGACAGCTAAAACAGCTGATAGCAACAGCAAAACCACTCCACTCTCAAATCAGATTAGAAATATGTTACAAATATCGCATTAGCGATGGGCGCTGACGCAAGCGTCGTGTCATGGAAGCAAGCTTTAAGATATGAAATGACTATATATGTACATATGTGCTTATATAGAGTTAGACTAATGTTAAATGGTTTTATGCCTCTATTTTATTAAGCTCTACTATTTCTATCAACATCTTAATTTTGCTGAAGTGCCAAGAATAACTTTTAAATTAACCAAACAATATGTTAATCTATGTAGCACATTACAAAATGTTTACAAAATATTGTGCTTATCACTACAAATTTTCTTTTTGAACACTGCCATGGGCAATAACGGTATGTGGAAATCGATATATTCTTGTTATTCATAGCTGCTCACGCGCTGACTTTGTGCACATCTCTAGTATTAGAAGTAAATACGAAAATACAAGTCAACGGCATCGTGATCATCAAATGCGATTGACCGACCTACGGACCCGAACACGTGTTACACGTCTCACCCCTTGCCACACACATGCTCACTCACTCACTCACACACTCTCACTCGACAATAGTCTCTTAATATAAATACAATACATACATGTGTGTGTGTGTGTGTGTGTGTGTATGTCAATGCGTTGGAATTGATAGAAATGAGCAAATCAGCAATAAAACCTCAACACTTTGCCCACACACAAATGGCAGCAGCAACAACTAATGATGATGGAGAATAGAAAGATGAAGAAGAAGCCTGAAAGAGTATGTTGTGTCTACAGTATAAAGTGCAAGTCATCGCCAATCATCAAATTCGTATGAGGCTGCTCTGCGTCGGTCCACAGCCGCCGTGGAATGCGAGCGGGCACTTTGCACTTTGTCTTTTGACTGCCACCCACAGGTTTCACAGTCGAGGCAAACACACGCACACACTCACACACACACACACACACACACACACCTATAGATTCCATAATCACAGTCCACAAGTCACGATAAGCAGCTGATATACGTTGGCCTTTCCAAACACCTTTCTGATAAGCGAGCTTTGCACTTTGTGTCTTAATGGCCACCCACAGACACGTTCCACAATCCACTCACACACACACACACATACACTTGTTGCATAAATATGAAAGTGTCTGACCTTTTGATCGGCTACATTACATCCGGATCCGTGCAAAGCAATTAAGATATCAAACAAAATTAGCAAAAGAGAGTGCTGCGCTCTGGTGTAGCCGACTAGGATATACCCTTTAGGCACACATACAATTACACGGGGGGTATCTGCTATAGGAAATCTGATATGCTACACATCAAAGCAGATTGCTTTGAAAACTTTGGATTCTCCAGCTTTAGTGGTCACAATAAAATATCCATTTTTATCTAGAGAGATAAATGCAACGGGTTATCGGAAATAAATGATAAACTTCTATTGCTTATTTTATTTATATCACTAGCCTTGTAGCTTGCTAGATAGCTAGGTTCATGTGTACGCACAGATATTTATATATATTTACAATTATATATAGAATAATGTCAATTTTTGTAGAGTATGCCACGTCTTTAAATACACAAAAAGTTTCGTAGGTTCTCGCTTTCAAGGGATCAAACACGAGTAATACCTCAATCGTGATTAAGTGCAGTGTTAATGATAGCTCAATATTCAGCTATATGTTATTATATATTATATGTACGTACACATCTATGCAATTCAATTATCATAAAAACAGACCTATCTCATTCTATGTTCTTGAAGAAACAGCTGCAAAACTTTGCGATTCCGATATAATCATTAAAATGCTGTTTTAATGGACTTTAATAGTATGTAGTATCTTCTTACCTATATGTATATGTAAATATATATATATGTATATGTATTTACACTTAATTTATAGTAATACACTATAATAACAGTTTGGCGAATGGGATAAATGACAGCCGTATAGTTGTTACAAGGTTTGTGTAGAATTCTCAGATTCAATGAAGTTGTGAAACTGGAAACGACAATCATATAGAAACTTCTAGGTTTTGCGTGTGCAATAATATACAAATTTATTAAAATTTTTGACAACATTCTGAAGCCCATTTTCAAGTCAACTTTTCGGTTAACTTTTAATAATATATTTACACCTTTACAAAAATAATTGAGAATTATGAACTGATTCGAAATTACAATATATATATTACAATATATACAAATCTAAATATAATGAATACAATTATATTTCTTACAGGAAATCGGCCTATGAGGAAAAAATTCAGTATACCATATCGGAGAAGAAGGACAAAAAATCGAGCAAGGCACATGTGAATTCAGTATTCTTCAAACAGTTGAGACAGCTGCTGCGTAAGTAATAGACAATGCCGAGAAAGAGCTTGAAATTGCTAATGATCACATTATTTTTTTTATCTTTAGCCATACTCATACCCAGATTCTGGAGCATTGAGACGGGTCTGTTGCTATTGATCGCCGGCTCCCTGATTGGTCGCTCCGTCAGCGACATTTGGATGATACAGAATGCGACCGTTGTGGAGAGCACCATAATACATATGAATCGGGCCAAATTCAAGACGGCTCTACTGAAATATCTAGCCGCGCTACCAGCGGTAAGCTCGCAATTGATTCTCATTATGGGCTTCGCTAAGAATTTCTCTTTGTAGATCTCTGTGGTTACGAATGTGCTGAAATGGAGTCTGGGCGAGCTGAAGCTGCGTTTTCGCACAAATCTAACCCATCATTTGTACAGCCAGTACCTCAAGTAAGTAGAGCTAAAAGGAGCTAGAGAATGTTCGAGAGAATTTCGATCAAAAATAATAGAAGAAGATGATTTGAAGAGAGAAGAAAACGAAGAAATTATTCTCAATTAATTGAAAATGGCAAATTTCTACATCGTAAACTATAAAATTGGAAATGGGAAAGAAGAATCAGTTGAAGGTATGGCCCTGCTGTATATGTATATAGGAAGCGTTAATAATATAATGATATAATAAACCACATAACTATTTAATTACTTTGTTAATCTCCTAACTTTCCATTATAATTATTGATTGTGGCCAAGTCGAGTCACGACCCAGACTCAGACCCAAGCTCGAATGTCGCCCAGCACAAGCCATCGCCTACTTGTATATCTAATGTGTTTATGATCTTAATAATCTATTTTTAGACGCACTTATGACTTGTCTAGAGAGCGAGACCGCGAGGCAGGCAGACAAGCAGGCAGACAGGCCGAGGGCGAGAGCCCATTAAACGTAATACTCTAAAGATCAAATATACTTTGACATAATTAAACTTGGGCTAGATCTATGATCCAGCAATTCGTTCTTAATGCAAGCTGCTCAGGCCGCTTAGAGTTTATAGTATGAAGCGTTTACTAATGAGAAACTTAGTAACTATAGTAATTCACATCTCTATATGGAAGATGTAGATAGAGGCTAAAGTTGTTAAAGATATCGAGTATATTTGTAATCTTAATCAGATTAGTCTAGCTCTGGTCACTGAACTAAAACTCATCTTAATGAATGATTTATACGTTTCTTAGTTTTCCTTACAATTGGAATATAGGGAAAACTTTTTTATACGAACTTCAAATAACGTTTACCTTTTTTCCCTCTGAGTAGAGCTCCCATTTTAGTTGGGAATGAAATGATGAAGGAATGACTCTTTCAACTCCTCTACATAATATAATAGATTAATATCTATATTTGTATATTTCTAATTCCAATTTTCCATCCCTCCTCTCCCAATTCAGCGGCTATACGTACTACAAAATGTCGAATTTGGATAACCGAATAGCGAATGCCGATCAGCTGCTGACCACTGACATCGACAAGTTCTGTGAGAGTGCCACAGATCTGTATTCGAACATCAGCAAACCGGTGCTGGATATCTTCATCTATGTGTACAGGCTGACCGTAAACCTGGGCGGAAAGACACCGTCCATACTGATGCTGTATCTGTTGTTTGCTGGCGTATTCCTCACACGCTTGCGTCGTCCGACGGGCCGTCTGACCGTCGAGGAGCAGAAGCTGGAGGGTGAATTCCGTTATGTGAACAGCAGGCTGATCACTAACTCCGAGGAGGTCGCCTTCTACCAGGGCAATGTCCGCGAGAAGCTGACGCTGCTCGCCAGCTACTCGAAGCTGCGATCGCATCTGCGCAAGTTCCTCGAGTTCCGTGTCAGTATGGGCATCATCGACAACATCATTGGCAAATGTGAGTGATATATAGACTTAGTATTACTATAATCTATATACCCAATGGCATTATAAAAATCTCTTTGAATATTGCCTTTCAGACTTTGCTTCGATTGTGGGCTTCTATGCCGTGTCCCTGCCCTTCTTCTCGGAGAACCATCCGCTGCTGTCCGGGGAGAATAGCGGACAGCGCTTGCAGGCCTATTACACATACGGCCGGATGCTGGTCAAGCTGGCCGAGGCCATTGGCCGGCTGGTGTTGGCGGGCCGTGAGATGTCCCGCTTGGCCGGCTTTACCGCCCGCATGACCGAACTGATCAAGGTGCTGAGCGATCTCAACAAGGGCACCTACGAGCGCACCATGGTCAATGGCAACAGCATCACGCAGAACGGCGGCCCCAATGCCACCGCCAGCAGCTTTGGCCCCAACAAGGGCATCATGTGCTTCGAGGACAACATCATACGATTCGAGCAGGTGCCCCTGGTCACGCCCAATGGCGATATTCTGCTAAAGGAGCTCACCTTTGAAGTGAAGTGAGTAGAGTGTTACGGGAGCTCCATTATCTAGTTGATTTCATTCGAACTTTTGTAGATCTGGCACCAATGTCCTCGTCTGCGGACCCAATGGCTGTGGCAAGTCTTCGCTCTTCCGCATTCTCGGCGAGCTCTGGCCCACGTGGGGTGGCAAGGTTACCAAGCCCTCGCGCGGCAAACTCTTCTACATTCCCCAGCGTCCGTACATGACATTGGGCAGCTTGCGTGATCAGGTAAGGGGCGACTTATATATGAATGTCCAGCCGAACTATCTTAATCACGGGATAAGGCTTCTGCGTCAGATAGCTCATTTCCTTTCCATAAGCTGTAAAGCTATGCTCTGGCTATGCTCTTCTTCACATGGGCATATCATACATGGATCATAATGTTGTCTCTGTCTCTCTCTCTCTATCTCTCTCTTCCTCTGTCTCTTTCACTATTCAGCATATATTGCATATCTGCTATTCTTTCTATATTTGTCTGTCATTGTCTCTATCTCTATCTGTCTGTCTCCCTTTTAATCAACCTGTCTCTTTCTCTCTCGTCTCTCTCTTTCACTATTCAGTTCATATTGCATATCTGCTACTTTTTCTATATCTCTCTATCTCTTTCTAACGTTCTCGTTCTCTTTCTCCCTATCTGTCTTCCTTGGTATCTCTCTTTCTATCCGTCTTGTTCTCCCTCTCGCTCCGTCTGTCCGACGCTCTCTGCCCCTATCGTTCTTCTTCAATTACCGTCCTCTCAATTATCATTAACCTCTCCTCTTTCCACAGATCATCTATCCCCATACACGCGACGATATGCGTCGTCTGGGCAAATCGGATGAGGATCTGTTGCACTTCCTGGACATTGTGCAGCTAACGTATCTGGAGCAGCGTGAGAACGGACTCGATGCGATCGAGGACTGGATCGATGTGCTCTCTGGTGGCGAGAAGCAGCGCATTGCCATGGCCCGTCTCTTCTACCACAAGCCGCAGTTCGCCATATTGGACGAGTGCACCAGCGCCGTGTCCGTCGATGTCGAGGGCAAGATGTACAGCTATTGTCGTGAGGTGGGCATTACGCTCTTCACTGTGTCGCATCGTAAATCCCTCTGGGTGCATCACGATTACTATTTGCAATTCGATGGGCGTGGCAGCTATGAGTTTAATACCATCGATCAGGACAAGGAGCACTTTGGCTCCTAAGCGAATGTGTCTTTGGCATTGGATTGACAGTCATTGACAAAGAGTGCAAGGAGGGGCCAAGGGTGGGGGGTGGTCAAGTAGTCAACAGTCGGCACACACACACAAACAAACACACACACACAATCGGATATATATATAGTATATACATTACAGACATTGCATGGAATATATTTAGCATATAGTTTTTGATACCCAATCAATATATATACATATACATATACATGTGTATGTATGTATATATATTTATTATATATTGTAATATTGTCTTAACTGCAATTTGAAAAGTTTGCCAATTTGTTGTTGCTAAACAACTCCACTTTTGTCCCGGACTTGCTTCCAAGCCGCGAGCTGTATATATTGCTAGATAAATATGCTTATGTATATGCGTATACATATACATATGCAATTCTGATTATACATAACGAAATTTGCAGCCATTCCAATTTTAAATATTTTGTGAATTTTCATTTTAGATTTGTTTCACTTCCATTTGAACTATTGTAACATTTGCTTCCCGAGCTGCGCTTTCAATGTTTTTTTTTTTTTTTTTTTTAATTTTTTTGTATATGTACATATATATAACGTTTATATATATGAGATTTATTTTGCAAGAATTCTTCCTTAGCGCTTGAGCAGACGCTCCTGTTCCTGAGCAATGTGAGCTGGTGTTAGTTATTTAAGAACCTAAAGTTTATGATTGTGCATCCATTATTTAGCGAACATTTAGTAAATTTGATAAACACTCTTGTACACGCACACACACACACACGCACACACCGACACAGAGACACACATGCAAATCCCATGTATAATGCACTATCTTGTAATTTATATAATATTTAATATATACATATATTATCTTGCTTTTCTCCTACCCCCCATATAACATTATTAATTTTGTTTCGGTTAAATTGGAATTTGTAATGGACTTGTTCTCTTCTCTTCCCTATTTTTTTTTTTAATTTTCTTATTATTATTTTTTGATTTATTTGATCATTTGCGCTACAACAACAACAACAACTGCAGCAGCTGGCAACAACAAACAATTGCATTGCATGCCAGTTGCTGTAAATTGCATTAAAATGTATATACAAAGAAAACGATCGAATAACAACCGAGTTTTAATTGGAGCTAACTGGAGAGAGAAGGCAGCTATATATATTGATATATCTGTATATACATATATATATGAGAAATGGGTTAGAAAAGTTATTAGTTCAAGGATTTTCAATTGACTTCAAAGCCAACTCAACTTAGTACAGGAATATATAAATATAATAAATACATATATGATGATTTCCCAACCGTACTATATATAGGGATTTCACAACTCTACGATATCTTTGATACCTTCCATTGCTGTCAGAAAATTGAATCGCTTGGAATTTTTGTTATACCCTGAACCCGTTGAAAATGGGAAATCAGGGTATAATGGTATTGTTGAAATGTATGTAACAGGCAGAAGGAGGCGTGGCAGACCCCACATAGTATATATATCATATCGAGCATATCGAGCTTATCACTAAAAAACGATAACTCATTCCGATATTTTTTTATCGA